CTTTTGGTAAGAGCGTATTTGCGCTTCCAAGGGTGAGAAGACTGGGAACGTCTCTCTGACCTGGATGGGGATCATATATTGTTCTAAAGTAGAAATGTCAAAGTAAAGTCATTTACCACCTGGACGTCCTTGACTTCGGATGATTAAAGTTTAATCCGAGGTGTGTGCACAGCTTTACCGTGTTATTTAAACACATCAAAGGTCATAAAGGGATTCCAATAGCATGAGTCGAACACCAGAAAGTGTTCTCGGTGGAGAAATCCGTATTTTATCCTAGCCTAAGCTCCAGAACGCTCTTTAAAGAAAAGGGAAAACAAAGAAAAAGAAAATGGGACGGACGGGGGAAAAGGGGATTTAATTTCTAAAGGGGATGCCAGACTTCAAAGCGGCTGGAGGGTCGCACTCGGGGGGGATACACCCGGGCGCGGACGGAGCCTTCGCCAACCATTAGCTGTGCAGACATCTAGTGGGAAACCCTCGCCACTGCAGCTCGGCCTCCTCCGCCCCGCAGGCAGGCTCTTACCCCGGCTCCTCGGACGCCCGGCTCCCGTCCTCTCCTCCGGCCGCCTTCTCCCCGCCGAGCCGCCGCCGAGCTGCGCGGAGCCCCGCGGGCGGCCCCCGCTCGCCCCCATTGGAGGCCGCCGATGCCAGCCCGGCCCCTCCCGGGCCCTGCCCCGACGGGACGGGCCCCCCCTCGTCCCCGTCCAACCCCCCCACGGGTCGGGCGCGGCCCGCGGCCCCCCGCGGCCCCCCGCGGCCCCCCGCGGCCGCGACCCCTCTGCCCGCAGCCCGCCGTGCTGCTCTGCCCGCTGCCGCGCTCGCTGTGCCACGGGCGGTGCTGCCGAGCAGGCAGGGATCTCCCCCTTCCCTCCCTCCTTTCCCCCCTCCCTCTCTCCCCCTGCAGCCGCCGGCTCTCGGCTTCCCCTTGCAGACGGCCGATGGGGATCGATAAGGGGATGGGGACAGGACGGGAGCGCACCCCAGCTCCGAGGTTTCCTGAGAGCTTTCCTGCCGCCTCCTGCCTTGCATTTCTACCCGGAGCATGCAGGACAGGACGGCCGGAGGGGGGGGTCGCTAAATCACAGCCGTGGGCAGAAATTTGCCTTCGCGGCCCCCGCGGGACGGGGGCAGAGGACGGAGAAACCCGGGAGGGGGAAAGGCAGAGGTCTGCCCGGAGCTGTGAAACTTTTGCTGGCACCTGAGCTGCCCGCCGTGGGGGGCATCCCAGGCTGTCCCCGTCTAACAGGTGGCCTATGCTCGGCCGCGAAAGGCGTTTCCAAGCTGCAGTGAGTCCCACTGACACCAAAATTGCTCGCATTCCCAGCAGAGCTGGGTGGGTATTTTCTAAATGTGGTGGTCTTCCCTCCCCGGCCCACCTATCCTTTTTTTTTTTTTTTTTTTTCCCAAGGAGCTCGGATCGCCACCATCTTCTTAGTTGGTACCTAATCACATAGCGACTGAAATACGGAAGCCCCATCACCTGCCCGAATGATGAGGATGCCGAGGGGTGGAGGACGAGGACATCTCCTCCACCTTGGGAGGACTCAAACTTCTGCTCTTCCAGCCCACACATTTGTCTTTGGGTTCCTTTTTTTTTTTCCACGCGGGATTTTCCCCGTAGCCTGGTTCCTTTGTGAGTTCTGTAAAGGACACAATTTTCTTTCCACACCATGTATCAGAACCTACTTAACATCCTAAATACCACCTTCCTCTTATTCTTCTTCCTCCTCCTCTTCCTCTTCCTCCTCCTCTTATTTCCTCCAGTCGTCAGTCACCTGCAGTCCCCAAAGACTTCCCTGGCTCGCAGGGATGCTCCTCGCCTCAGAAAGCAAAACCATCCCTTTGGGTACCCAGAGAGGGGAAGAGACATCTTGCTACGAGCACGCGGGTTTGAATTATTAGGCTGTAAATTTCGTACCGTGATAAAAGCTTCAGCTGTGTTGTTCAATATTAAAGTTTTTGGCAATTGCATCACTTGTTTTTTCACTTCCTTTATCCCCCGCCTCAGACCTACATTCCCCTCTCACAGATTTCTGAGAAAATCTTTCATGTTTTGTTTTAATATCGCATATATACGTTTCAGGTTTCTCAGCCGCTATACAAATAAGAATGGACATATGGCAGGAACATTTGATGTTTGCAAACGGGCAGAAGATACTTGCTAACCGATTTCCGCTGTGGAGTTATATGGGATTCTCTTTTTATATATAGGCAACTTTTATGTTAGCCGGGATATTCTTGCTCACAGTTTTTAAGGTTTCGGTCCTGTGGTTATTGTTAAAAAAAAAAAAAAAAGTACAATTCATCATCCTCCCCTCCTGATAAACGCAACTTCATCGTAATGCTCTCACAAGAGTAGCTGTATGCACAACGCCTTCTTCCCAGCTGAGGTGGCAAATTATTTTTTTTTATTTTTTTTTATTTTTTTTTATTTTATTTTATTTTTCCGTGGTCTTGCCATCCTACTGAAGATACCTTATTGATGCATAATGATAAAAGATGCATACTGCTAATAGATGCATAATTAACGTCATTGAAAGCTAATGATGAAATGACGATTACTAGGTTAGATCGGCAGTGTCCGAGCTCCAGGGGAACTTCACCGCAAACTTGTGACCTCCCTTTTAGTGACCCCCGGGGTACTCACAGACGCGGAAACTCTCCCCCCGCAGTCCCCAGCTAAAGTTAATGGGTTCGACTCGCTGCCTCTCCTTTATTTGCCAAATATTTACATCACCCGAAGTGGTGATGACGTGTCTGTTCGTGCCTTCATCACCTCACAGTGGAGTTATTCCTTGTGGGTAACGCTTTGGGAAGGGTTACGGGAGCGAAGCGTCCCCCCTGCCACAGGTGGGCTCCCAGGCCGGGGCTGCGGTACGTGCCCCCGGCTCCTGCGGGGCTCTCCCAGCCTTGCAGGGGCAGGAGCCTTCCCCGCACATCTTCTCGTGGGGTTTCAGACCGGGGCCGTGACAGACTTCTCCAGGTCGAGTCCCCGAACCAAGGATTTGTCGAGCAGAGGACACGGGGAACCCATGTTACATCCAGCTGTTTTTTTTTTTCTTTCTTTTTTCTTCTTTTTTTTTTTTTTTATTTTTAATTCTTTTTAGGGGGGCGGGTTGGCAGCGGGCTGCGCCAGGAGATGACAGATAGTCCCCACACACTCGGCAAGAGAAATTGCAAAGAAATATGGCTTTGTGAAAGTGGATGACAATTGGTAATTACTGGCAGGCAGCGAGGATCTTCCTCACAATGGGAAGGAAGTGGCTCTGAGCAAGGATACTCGGTCGCTGGCACAACGGCAGTAAAATCTGCAGGAAAGCGGCCTCGGGTTGCGTGCAAGGGGACTGCGGAATTTCTTCCTTTAGGTATCTGTGCTACAAGACCAAGGGGCATGCCTGACTAGCGACTAACCTTTATTGTTTAGCCGCTCGTTATTTCGCATGTCGCAGAGGTTGCTACGAAACCACTCCCTTTTCTCTGTGCCATTATTGGACTAAATATACTTTGGCTCCTGGGACGTCGCGAATTGTCTTCAGAGCGTGGGAACCTTGGCGTGTGCCCTCGGCTCCGCTCCGACCGCTTGGCACCACCATCCCTCCTTCTCCCCGGGTATCTCCCCGGCTGCTTGTGCTGGGCTCGGCCCCGTCCCTCTTGCCCCGGAGACAATGGGAGAGCCTGGCCCATTGTCTCCAGCTCCGTGCACACCCGCGCGTGGATTTGGGGGCACAAGGTGGCAGTGCCAGGCTGTGGCATCTGGGCAAGGACGGCGATGAAAAGGAGAGCCGGTGCGCCCACCATGAAGTCCCTGCCCCAAATGAGGAGTCCTGGTTAGTGCCCCACGCCGCCCTGCCCAGGTGTGGGCAGCTGGAACTGGTGGCGTGCGGGGTCAGTAAGGACCAACTCTGCTCCTGCCTTCCCCGAGAAACCACGAGGCTCAAACGCAGAGGTTTAAGTCGATTCCAGAGTAAATAACCTCTTGGAAGTACAGTCAGCTGTCGTGTATTTAAGAATCGGATTCAGCCTTCCACAGGGCCACATATGTAACTGCTTATCTAGAGAAGACATAAAATACAATAAGCTTTGGAAAAATTCATGATTCAGCAAAAATAAAGGGAGTAATATACTCACCCAGAGATGCAAGTTATCAGCTAGTGTGCATTTGGCTGGTGTTATGTTTAAAGGAAAACACTGTATAATTCCTATTTAGAGAATGTGTTCACGGTATGGACGGAAAAACATTAGTTCCATCTAACATGAAGAGTAGCAAACGTCTGTTGTTATTAAAGACAGCACGTAATATATATACCTGAGAAATGTACTCTAGGCGCTAGAAAGCATTTTCTAGACCCCGGTTTTACTAGCTTTTTACCGAATAAAATTTTAACAGAAATGCGTGTGCGTGGTGAAATGTAAAGCTAATTGGAGAACACGGGATCATATCACGGTATCGGGTAACTTTCTGCTGGGAGGTGGTTGACACAGGCGGCACCCACGGCATAAAGCAAGGGCAGTTCAGTGCTGCCGAGGACTCAGCCGAAGCCAGCTGGCTTTTTCTGCCCCGAACCCGCTCACAGAGCCGTGCAGATGGCGCCTTGCTGCTCGTGGAGCGCTCCCCGAGGGCTGTCCCTATGGGATCCCACCCACGAGGGGAGAGGGCTGTCGCCAAGCACGAAGAGGGATGTGCTTGGGGGTGAGGGAGGGTGATGGGAACCCCATCCCGGGACAGAGGGGTGCCCCAATCCCCTAACTCGATACAAGCACAATGTGCCAAGCAATAGGCATGGGTGTGGCCGTGCACACAAGCTCATACACACCCCGAAAGGGCTGAGGTGTACACGGCACCCACTGGGGGTGTGGGCTCTTGCACGCCATCAGAAGATGCCTCCCGTGGGCACCACAGGCGCTGCAGGAGGGCGGCCGGCTGGCGGGGCCAGCAGCCCGGCACAGGTGTAGCGGTATAAAAGGCCCAGCCCCGGGTTTGGGGCCGCAGTCCAGCACCCTTCAAGGCCGGCCGGGCTGGCTTGGCAGGGATTTCGGTGGGGCGGGGAGCTCCAGGTGTGTCGGGCAGCCGTGCCCCTGCTGCCTCCCATCCGCACCGGGCTGGCCTAGGCAGAGCGGCCCGGGGAAGGGATAGGGATGGAGATGGGGCTCCCAAGGGGAAGGGCAGCCACTTCTGCCCCTTCTTCCAAGCCCTGGGACAGTTGCAGAGTTTTGCCAGATGCAGGGTGTTGTATCTGAGGGGTTGTTTTTCCCTCCGCAGAGAAGATCCCCACCCGTGCTGAGGGTGTCCTGAGAAGGTAAATCTCTGCTCCTGCCAGAGTGTGTGAGCCCCCGGCCCTTGAAGGGTATTTTTTAAGATAGCCGTGATTATAGCCCCGCGTATGTACAGTCTCATCTGAGCAAAGGACTGGAAAAGTGAGGAAAAAGAGCTGTTAGACAGACCCAGACATTAGAGATAAACTGCCTCCATCAAGTCAACATTTTAATCACTAAAACCACTTCTGAAAAGGCAACCAAAAAAAAAAAAAACTCTTGGAGAATGTACTCAAACAGCTGTCTTCCAGTAAAGGCAAACATGTCCAATATTTCCTGTATGACTTTTTTTCTCCCTTTTCTTTCTTTCTCTAGATGCTGCGCCCAGTTGCCTTTAGCACTACAAGCCTCGCTGTTTCCCCTAGGTGAAGATACGGCTTTGGTGTCTGCATCCAAAAAAATAAATAAATATAAAGACCCTGCAACTTCTCCAGGAGACAGCAGCGTCCACTGCTGCCACTGAGCTCTCCTAAAGGGACGCTGTGTACATGTCACGCTAGTACAGGAATGCTATGGTGAGAAAGGCTTTGTGGAAATGCTTTCTCCCGCATTGTTAAGGAAAGAGCGACTTCAGCTTCCCTCCGACAGCCTTTCAGAGGGAAATAAAAACGGCGCAAAGTGGGCCTGAAGCTCAGGAAGAACTTTTTTTTTTTTTTTTTTTTTTTTTTTTGTAATGAAAAAGGTGGAGGGATAAGTTTAATTGTAATCAGGCTGCAACAATACACCATGTGATCATGTGGTAGCAATTATTACAAGCTCCCAGCAGAAATAGAGAGAGGATATGCCATTGCAGCTCACTGTAGTCTGGGTTTATTTTCTTTTTCAAAAAAATATGACCCACTGATATATCTATCAGGCGAAAAATGATTTTACCCTTCAAACGCTAAATCCTGAAAACCGGAGGATAGCCCAACAGTATCAAGAAAGATTAACTCGACTATCGTTGTATTATCCATTGCTACTACCCGGCCGTACTAGAAAGTTTTTAACTGGAAGATGTAACTGACCTGATAAAAACTGCTGAAGTGGGTATCTACTCAGACAGCCTGGCCTCCTCGTTATCAGAATTTGTTAAGACTAAAATAAAAATGTTCTCGGGTTCCTTTGTGCGAACGGGGATAGCTGATTGCGAAGGAATCCGTCTGTTTGCATGGCAAGGCAAAATTAATTGAAATTGTAGGTGGGATTTATCACTGCATTCAAGCAGTCTGCGGCTGACAGAGAGCCTGCAAGGGCTTCTGTTCATCGGTGCATTTACACTACAGTCTAAGGGAAACATTTTCTGCTGATTACCAACATGTAACGACAGATTTCTTGCACTTTCAGCCGCCAAATACAAACAGAAAATAATCTCAACCCCCCTTGAAATACGCTAGTGAAAATATTACAAAAAATAAAGTAAAATAAACAAAACAAACCTAGAAAAGAGACCTTGTCGGTGAGACAGAAATCAGGATCATTCCCATTTTCACTTTAAGCACTTGAAATACCTCCTGCGTGTTTTCTAGAAATGAAACAAGAAAAATAATACAGAGAGGAGTGATCTGAGAACTCGCTCCACAAAAATTACTCAGTGTCCCACACTTCGGGCAAAAGCAATTCCATTATTTTCAAGCACACCTTACTTATAGGAGGTGGCAACTGGAAAGTTTGGGTAGACTGAAGTAGGTAGGTCCGTACCTACTGTGCGGCTGAGGGTTTTTGTGACGCTTTTTATACCTAGCAGAAATGTGGGATTAAGTTTTTCGCAAATCTTCCCGGCGTTTTCCCTTTCTGCATTTCCTTTTACGAATTCTTCTTATTTTGCAATTATCTCGGACCCCCCCAGCACGCAGTGGGAGAGAGAGAGTTAAGATGTCCTGCGAACCCTGCTCGTAAAGCTGCTCAGTTCCATTAGAAACACATGAATATCCTGAAATACAAAGTGTCTTTAAAACGGACTCAGGAATGTTTATCTCAATCCTTGATGCTTTAGAAATTATGGACGAAACCAGCGGTGACAGTTCGCGTCCAAATTAACCTTCTGGCAGGTAAATTTCATTTGCTCATGAAAATCAAATTCGATTAAGGATCTCGCTCCTGCTATCATTTTACTCCTGCATCTTCCAAAAACTTCTGGACTCTGAAGGACAGAGAATAATATTAGTAACTAAGATCCTCTATCCTCTCTATTATCAGCGAAGATCTTTTAGCGGGTTTAGAGGGATTTAACTCTGCGACAAACACATATTTTCAGCAGTCAGTCACATTTTTTTTCTTAGTGCTCATTAATTAGCTCTAAACAATGGAGGGAAAAGTAAGAGTGGATTTCCTCTGACTACGCATTTTCTTCTGTATTCGTACGATTTTGATTATCCTACAAGAAATTAAAGCTCCTCTCAGTGGGGCACTCCTGCAGCAGGAACGTTTGTGTTATCACACAATGGGCTGCTTTTTAAGAAAGCTGTCTAGATAATCTGTGCCGACAAACTCGGTTTTTGCAAAACCTGACATTAAGCCGAACGTACTTTTTGGTAGCGTAAGCAAAGAGAAGTTGTGAGGCCTCTTCAGAAAAATGAATGGCCATATTCCTGTTACGTAGGGAGATTTACAAATCGTTTATATTTTCCCGTTTAAGGCCAAAATCCTGCGGTCCTCCCTGTGGCAAGGCTATCTTTGGCTTCGTGGCTCCAGAAGCACAAAGTGGCTTGTAAGGGACAAATTCTGCCCTTGCTTACACCTGCGAGGTGGGTCACCACTCGCAGTGCAGCCAAGGGACGAATATGCCACTAAAGCACATCGCAATATCTCACATGGGCACTGCGGTGAATCTGAAAACCAGTTTAAAACCGTCTGGCTCTGAAAGGATTCTGCACCTTTTAAAATCCTCCTGCGGATCACTGTTGTTCATCCTCTTGCTCCCTGAGGAATTAATACTCATTTTAGGGGAAACGACTTAACAGACGTATTTATCTCCGAGAAGCTTTACAGGCTATGTAAATACAAAGTGGTTCGGGGGGTTGCATGAAATCTCCTGGAAAATGCTGGCGCTCTATCATCATTCTGTATTTGCTGTATCTTAATCTTACTTTACACGAAAGGGGGCAAAAAAGAAGAAAATCCTACTGGTCTTTCTGTTGCATAAATGGAAGCCTTCGATTACCAAGTTAATTTCCCAAAATTAAGTCTTTGTAGACAATGGCCAAATCCAATCGGTGGGTTCAAGTAAACTCTTCCTTAGTTTTGGTAGATTTAGCTAGCACATCTCCAAGCTTGCTTTGCGAAAAATAAAAGCTCTTCAAGAACTGGTAGAGAATGATGTATGTTCAAGGCGGGGGGGATAGGCTCAAGCATATTTTTATCCCTGGTGTTCATTACAGGGTCCATGATTTTCGAAGAACATCTGTTCTGCCCGATGCCTTCAGCCCTCCCGGTTCCTTTCTGATATTTAATGGCAGATACCCATTAAGGCGGGAAGGAATTATAGCCTCATAGATGGGGAATGATTTTTTTTTTTTTTTAGGAAAAAAATAAATAAATTTGACGAGGCTTTTCTCTTCTATCGGTGTCAATAATTTATTAAAAGTCAGTCCTGACAAAATTCGGGAAGGAAAACAAACGCATCAACTCTCTTATCCGATAATAACTTCTTTTTTGGGGCTGCACACGCACCCTGCAGATGCCATTTTGACTATTTTGAGAAAACGGTACCATTACAGGACTCCCACCCACGTCACAGCAAACAAGGGAAGGGTAGAGCTGCATCACCGCCCTTATCAGCACCGAGAAGCATGGCCCTCTTCCCTAACGAGAAATAGAGGGAGAGATACATGTAAGAGAGAAAAGAGATCTCTTTAATCTGATCTCCCTTCTCCCTTTTGCACACAGAGCTGGAGCAAATCCAAGTGGGTAAACACAACAAAAAAACAACCACCAAAACTCAGCAGACCGGATGCCCCCCCCTCTCCGCTCTTCCCCCCCCCCCCCCTCCACTCCACCACTTGTACAGTTTGCACCGGGTCTCCGAGCGGCAGTTTCACATGGCTTCTCCCTCCCTATGGAAAGAGGCTGGAAAAGTCGGGGCAGATAAGCGAGAACCGGAGCTCCGCTGCTGCGAGAGAGGAGAATTAGTTCGGCCAGGAGGGCGGGCTGGGGGGGGGGAGGCGAGCTGGAGAGATTGCAGCTCTCACGGCCACCCGATTTAACAAATCAGACAGATCTCCGGGCTGTGAATGACAGTTCTCACATTGGCTAGACTGCAACTTTCAACTTGACCTTGGCCTCTAGCCGTGTCTAACCCGTATGTAAAACAGCGCTGCCCCATAGAGCAGCCTCCCCTTCCCCCTTCTCCCCCCCGCCCCGCTGCAGGGCGATTTTGAGAAGCAGCTCGAGAAAGCAGGGAAAAACAAACCGGCCCGATTCGTGCCAGTCAAGCACAACGTTTGGCCGGGGGAATCCACAGGTTTCAAAACTGGAGCCTGGAAGAAAGGGAAAAATATGCGGGGAATAAATATTTGCTTTTGGCCATGAGGAAGAATGCGGAAAGGAGTACGCTAAGGCAAAATGGGAACCGTTTATTGGCTACAATGAAGGAAAAAATGGGGCTAAAACATTGCCAGATTAGAGGGGGGAATGACAGCGACTCCAGGTATCCCAGCCCATCTCACGTAAAAATCGCCTGGAAAAATAGATGGTTGCCTCTTTCTCAGGGCTGGCAGATCTGCCGGCTGCGATAGGCAAGGAAAAGGCTGCTCGGTAACAATGTACGTCCCGGGACTACTCTGCGCTCGTAGCAATGCGGGCAAAACAATGCTACAACGTCAATGGGAAGCACAATAGTCTAATAAATACGCCGAGCTGTCAGGCACAAAACAAAGCAACATGCAACTGCAAAAATTAGTTTTCAGTATGGCAGCATTTGGGGATGTTTTGTCCGCACACTTTAGGGCTGAGAGCTGTTAACGATGAGACGAACGCTTCTTTGGGTCAAGTTTATTGAGAGCTCCGTGGCAGAGCACTGCGGGTTCAAGGTTGGGCGCAAATAGCTGAAAGCTGGGGGGAAACGCATCCGAGCCGGTGGGAGGTGCGGTGGATATTAAAAGTGGGGGTCATTTCGCCCCATGAAAAATGCCAGCGTTTGCCGTGAAAAAGAGAAGGCGATTTCTTTTTTTATTATTTTTTTTTTTTCTAGTCTTCGCTCGCATAGAAGAATGGCCTTAAAAAAAGTAAGCAGCCCATAAACCATTTTTTCCCAGCACAAAAAGGCGCCGTGGGTCCGTCCGCACGCTATACAAGCCGACGTGCTATTTTACGGCCAAAGAAGATGCAAGCCGAACTGTAGGCCCCGGCTTTTATTATTATGATTACAGTAACAAATAATAGAGCAGAGTTACGGCGGAGATCCAGTTAACCCTCCCGCTGCCCGAGTCCGGCCTGAAACGAAGCAGTAAACAGAGTGAATCTGGATTTCCTGCTCCGCTCCTCTTATCTGGCTGCCGAGGCTTTGTGGCGAGAGAAGCGAGCCGGCTCTTGGGCTTTCGACGGGCAGGAAGGAAGGCGGAAAACACCCAGGAAGGCCCCCGGGACACCCCGCTTCGGGAGCCTCAGTGGGGGGCCGGAGGGCTGGGGGGGTCCCCGCGGGGTCCCCACGGTACCTGGGCGGGGAGAGGCGAGGGGCGACGTGGGGACAGAGGGACGAGGGGACTGGGGGCGGCCCTCCCAGAGGCCGGAGGGGGCCGCTGCTCCCGGGGCGGGGGGGGGGGGGCAAGGATGTGGCTCGGGGAGGGGGGGAAGAGGCCGGGGTGCCGGGGGGAGCCGCGCACCTCGGGGAGCGCGCCGCGGCAACAACAGGGCCGAAACGCTCACGCCTCGGTGGCGAGGGGAGGAGGGAGGGAAGGAGGCAGGGAGGAAGGAGGGAGGAAGGAGGGAGGAAGAAGGGCAGGCCCCCCCCCGCCCCCCCCCCACCCCACCCCACCCCCGCGGCGCCCGTGCCCCGCGCGGCGGCGGCCGGGCCGCGCCGTGCCCGCGCCCGTGCCCGCGCCCCCGGGCCGGGAGCCGTCCCCGCGCGGTTGTGGCATTATTTAATTATCTCCGCTTTATTCCTTCCGATGTTTATCAGCTGCTTTGCATATCACGTGGGGGCGGGCGGCCCAATGAGGGCCCGCCTGGCGCGACACTGGCGCGTCAGCCTTGGTCAAGTCCCGGAGATTTAGTATCTCTTTTTTCAGTCTTTGGGGCTTTTAAAAAAGAGCCACTAGTCTCAATGCGGAGCGGGCTATGACAGCCTCCGTGCTCCTCCACCCCCGCTGGATCGAGCCCGTCATGTTCCTCTACGACAACAGCCTGGATGAGATCAATAAGAACATGGACGGGTTTCACGCCGGCAGCAACTTCGCGGCGGCGGCGGCGGCCAACCCCTGCCGCAACCTGATGGCTCACCCCGCGCCCCTGGCCGCCCCCAGCGCCGCCGCCTACACGTCGAGCGAGGCCCCCGCCGCCGGCATGGCCGAGCCCGCTGTCAAGCAGTGCAGCCCCTGCTCGGCCGCCGTGCAGAGCTCCTCCGGCGCCGCGCTGCCCTACGGCTACTTCGGCAGCGGCTACTACCCGTGCCGCATGACCCACCACAACGCCATCAAGTCCTGCGCCCAGCCCGCCTCCACCTTCGCCGACAAGTACATGGACACGTCGGTCTCCGGCGAGGAGTTCACGTCGCGGGCCAAGGAGTTCGCTTTCTACCAGGGCTACGCCGCCGGGCCCTACCAGCCGGTGCCCGGCTACCTGGATATGCCCGTCGTGCCCACCATCGGCGGCCCCGGCGAGCCGCGGCACGACCCCCTCCTCCCCATGGACAGCTACCAGCCCTGGGCCATCACCAACGGGTGGAACGGGCAAGTGTACTGCCCCAAGGAGCAGAGCCAGCCGCCTCACCTCTGGAAGTCCACCCTCCCGGGTAATAATACACCTGCATGGCTCCCCGGCTCCCCCCCCCCTCTCCTCGCTCGCCCCTCGCCCCGCTCCCCCCGGGCTCCCCCCGGGCCGCGCCGTCCCCGCCCCGCCCGCGCTCCCCGGCCCCAGCCCGCCCCGGCGCCGCGGGGATGGCACCGGTGCCGCCCCCTCCCCGGCGCCCGGCGCATCCCGCCCGAGGCTCCGGGAGAGGAAACAGCTGAGAAGGGCGCTGGGAGGGAGCAGGGCTCCGCGCCCGGCCACCAGGTGCCACAAGCTCCGCAGCGGGGTGGGAGGGGGGGGAGCGGTGGCAGCTCCGCGGAACTCCCGCTGGAGTCGTGGGTGTCCCCTCCGGGGGGCTCCGAGGGGCTCCGCGGCTTCGCTTTGCCCGGCTGGAAGGAAAAACACCCGCAGCGGAGAGGCGAGGGGAGCCCCGGGTGCGGGGCGGTGCTGCGGGAGCGGAGCTCCGGGAGGGCGAGGAGCGGGGCGAGGAGCGGGGCTCTCCCCCCTGCGCCGCTCCAAGATGTCCCGGGAGGTCCCCGTAACTCTCTCCTAACGCTTTCGTGCACGGTTTTTCTGTTCCAGACGTCGTTTCGCATCCCTCCGATGCGAACTCGTACAGGCGGGGGAGGAAGAAGCGAGTGCCTTACACAAAGGTTCAGTTAAAAGAACTCGAAAGGGAATACGCTACAAATAAATTCATAACCAAAGACAAACGGCGGAGGATATCGGCGACCACGAATCTGTCAGAGAGACAGGTCACAATCTGGTTCCAGAACAGAAGGGTCAAAGAGAAAAAAGTCATCAACAAATTGAAGACGACCAGTTAATGGATTAAAAATGGAGAAGCAGCAGCTCGAAAGTTTCAGAACTTTTTTTTTTGTTGTTCAGATTAAAGTAATTATTAATAATAATTAAAAAAGAAAAGACAATGAACCTCTTCTTTCAGAACAAGAGATCTGTATCCTTGGAATTATAGCATTTTTTAAAATATTGCTGTAGCAAATGGTTAAAACTGACAGTTCTCCTGAAATCCCAAGCAGACAGTGTAACTGACAAACTGTAAAGCCCACATGCCCAGCCCCGAGAGATACACTTTCAATTAAGACACACAGTTTTCTGAGAAACTTGTAAGTACTTCTATGACCTTACTATTTCAGAACACTCTTCGTGGCCACGATGTGAGAGCTGGTTGACGTGAGGAGGTCGATGTGTACACATAAGCTTGTTTTCTTCCATTGCAATCCAAACTGTATGTTGAATGACTGCTCAGGTAAACCATAGTGAAAAAAAAATGTACAATTACTGTATGTTTTTAAGCAATGCATTTAATGTAAAAAAAAAAAAAAAAAAAAAAAGTAATAATAAACCTCGAAGGTACTGAATAAGGATTTCAGAGACATCAGTAATGAAGGAAGCTCTGTGGAGGATCTATCCTGATAGCAAATTAGAAACATCGCAAACTATTGGGGATAGAAGGGAAAATATTTGCTTGGAGATATCTGTTGGTTTTAATTTTTATTTTCAAAAGATGATTTCTTGTCATCTTTTTTTTTTTTTTCTCCTGCAGACCGTACAATAGATACTTTTTAAAGGACTCTGCCTATTTTAAACCTCAAACTATCTTCAAGAATTAATATTTTAAGTCCCCGGAAATTTTTTAAATGTTTGACTCTGGGTGGATACAAAAACGTGAGCATTGGCATTTCTTCATAGTTAAAAAATATATATATATCCCTTTCTGGAAAAAAAAATATCCGAGAACTTCGAACTGAAATACATTTTTCCCCAGAAGTATTTTGATTTATATAATCTATATTTTGATCTATAAGTAATTAGTCGTTTCTCCTTGTTTATTGTCTGTTATGAGGCCGCAGTAGAACGTTTAGGGATTCTTTTTACAGCACCTTTTAATCCAATCAGTTATTTCAACCAGCACATTATTTTGTTTTTATTCACTATAAGAAGCTATCTTGTAAATAATAAAAAAAAAATCAGCGCACTGTGAAAATGTACTTGTGCACCCTCATTTTTTTTTTTTATATTTCTACTGAAAAGTGAAAATCCAAGACGTGTAGATAGGTATAGTAGTATTAATACTGTTAATAAAATAGTCACTGTAATAAAACCTGAAAGAAATACTCTTTATTTTTCGGTACCTACGTGCATTCCATAAGAAATACATATATATATATATGTGTGTATATATATATGTATATATATATACATAATGTATCTATCTGTCATATAATTGTGATATTGTTATCTTTCTTTATGTAGTTTATATGTATATAGATACGCATATATATATGTATATACACACACATATATGCTTACGTATGTATATATGTGGATATGTGGATTTTTTTTTTCCTGCACGGTATTTATCTGGGAGCAGGCATGCCTGGTATCCAGCCTTCCTCTAAATGTTTTCGTAACGTTAAGGAGAGGTTTTGCAGAGGGGCTGGGGCCAGGGGGAGGAAGAGGAGGATGATACCAGCGCAGCGCTGCAGCCCTCGCCGGAAAATGGCAGCGGGGCTGCCAAGCCCCTGGGACGCGGGGACGGCCGCGGGAAGGTGGGTGCGTTCGCGGCGATGACAGGACGGGGAAGGCCCGAAACCTTGACCTTGAGGGGAAAAAAAAGAGCCGATTTGTGACCTTGACTTTTGACAGCTCCCGGCGCCGCCGGCATTCGCGAGCCGACGGCGCCACCTCGTGGCCGCGCCGCGCCCGCGCCCCCCGCGCTGCGTCCCCGTGGATCCGCGCAGCGCTGCGCGGCCGCGGCACCGCGCGTGGGCGTGCGCGGCCCGTGGGGAGCCCCGCGGCTCGGCGCGGCCGTGGGCGTGCTGCGGAGGGGGGCTGCGAGGCCGGGCAGGTTGCGACCCGCTCCCCCCCGCTCCGGGGGCGGCGGGAGGTGCGAGGTGGAGTTCGGGTGGTGAAATTGGGGTCCGGATGGTGAAATGGGGGTCCGGATGGTGAAATCGGGGTGCCCTGGTCGGGGAGCCCCGGTGATGCGCGGTGCTGCGAGCTTGGTGGCGGTGTGAGCGGCGGCCGGCTTCAGTGGGGGCACAAAGGGAGGCTCGCTTTGGCTGCCCTGTCTCCCGAGGTGGTCTGCAGCTCTAATTAGAGCTATCGGGGAACCTTTACGGTGCATTTAGAGGGTATCATGTGCCGCGCAAAGTGTAGACTTCTAGCCTTACATTTCTGAAATTCAAAAGCGCCTACCTCGGTCGGGGATCAGCGCGGGGAGCTTGCTGGCGCTCGGCTCTGAGCGTAACGCATTCGTGCAATAACTTACACGAAAAGTACCTGAAGGAAAGAGAGATCTGTTTTCCAGGGAGCTGCGGTGCCTGGGGCTCCTGGCTCAAGGCTGGAGCTGAGCCGCCCGGGCTGGCTGCGGGCTGGCTGCGGGGCTGGGGCTGCGCGGGGCGCGGAGCGCTGCGGATGCTCGGGTGGGTGACCTGCGGCCGCGGAGCGTGGGAACACCGGTGGCATCCCTCCGGGGGCCGCTCGGGGACTTTTTGAGCGAGGTTTCCCTAGCCCCGCTGCTGAAACAGCCGGGGAGACGGAGCTACGCGGCGGCCGGTTTACAGGCCTTGCAGTCAGGCTCTGCTTTGGGGGCACAGCGTGACCCCGGGAGGGGAAGAGGAGGCAGCCCCGACGGCAAGGCTACGAGGCAAAACCCCACCGGGGAACCGCCGAAGCCGAGGGGAGCCGGGCAGCCTCCGCGGCCCCGCAGCAGCCCGGCGGCCTGCCCGGCTTCGGGCGGATTTTCAGCTTCTAGCTGCAAAATCCTGCGCTGGGATCCATGCTAGGAGGTCGGGGGCTGCGGACTGGACGGGGGGGGGGTCGGCGGTAGCAGCCCCCATCGACGGTTCCTGTCCTTCTTGGGCAGATACCTGCCGCGGCGGCAGGCAAGGGCCAGGCGCAGTTTCTCCGCTTCGTTGCCCCGCTTGCTCCCGCAGGAGCTAAATGGCCTGGAGAAAGCCACTTGTGAATTACACTTGTTCTCGCTCCGGGTGGATAATTCTATTTATTCCGTTATATTTCGCAACGTGTATAATTATGGCATGAGACACGCCGCAAATTGCATGCATTTCAGGTCGGAGATGAGGGTGATACGCGCGAGTCGAGCCCGTGGTGACTTGTGTTGCCTATCTTAGGCAGTATCTTCTGTTTTCACACCGTGCCCCAGAGCGTTATAATTCAGGGGCGCCTTGAAAGAAAGCCTCAACGAGAATATGGCCGACTTTAGTAAAATAACAGTTTAAAAAAAAAAAAAAAAAGTTAGTTCTCCGTCTGAGCTACCGTTTGAAGATTATGTTTTCACACTGAAGTGCTTACCGTTCAAATCTCCTAAGCATTTCTAGACCGTGGATTAGCGAATTTAAATTCCCACTACCGTTCAAATAGCTGCGCCGCAGATATATTTCACAGGGCAAAAAGGGGAGCGGCTGACTTGCGACCGCTGGCAGGAGTAAGGTAACATTTTGGATCGGACCCCCGCTACCATGTAAGTCAGCGTCGAGGCTCTCGCAGGCTTGGGCAGGAGGAGCAGGTCGTGTTTCCCGGCTGGCAGCCGAGAGCCCCGGCCCGGGGAGCAGGATCAGGCCCGTGGAGCATCCCCCGGTCGCCCGGTACCTCCCCCGGCCTCCCCTGCGGGGGCTGCGGCTGGTGCCGGGAGGGCTCGGTGACCCCACTGCCTCCGGCCTGGACCCACGCAGCGCTCCGGGACCCCACTCAGGACCCGGCCACGGAGCCCAGAGGCTCGGTCAGGTGAGGGGAAGCCGGCAGCTCCGCGCCTCGCTCACCGCCGCACCGGCCCGGAGGCGCGATGGGGATGCCTGCGGTTTTCTGAGCGGCGGAGGATGCGTGGTCTGCGGGGTTTGGTGCCTGCTGCCCTTTCCCGGACCTCCCCCCGGCCTCTGCCGGCATCCACGCACCCATCGCTCAGTCCCTCCGCCGGGTGTAAGGGGCCTGGGGGAGCGGGCGTGTAGGTGTGTGTGTGTCCGCGTTATTTATTGCCTTCGCTTACCGTCCAAAAGCTGTTGGCACATACATTTTCAAGTACAAATTGCTGTTGTATTACATATTCCCCTCTCACCAATCTGCCGCCAGCGTCCTGAAATACGTCCCTAATATGTTTTATAAGAAAATATATCACCGACGAAAATAATTAGCCGCCGTGATACATTACTTCGCGTCCATGCACGCGGTTCCGAGAGAATTATTATTTATATTCCCCGCGCTACCGAGATTGTTTTAAAATGGTGGTGGGGAGCTTATTGTGCCTGCCTTGTTTTGTGGAGTTATACGTGCGAGGACTTTTTTTTGGAGACATGAAGAAAAAAATGTCCTGGAAACAGGATTCGGAAACAAAACAAACACAAAATTAAAAAACGAACCGTGAGCAAACAAAATAGTCTCTATATTTTCAGCTCCCCTAGAAATAAAAACGCTGCGTATAGTAGTGGATGTGTGGAGGGACGCAGGGGACAGAGGGAGCATGTTACTACTGTATATTTAACGTATTTATTGAAACATTAATGTCAGAGCAATATTTCATTCCCGGTGTAAAATGCAAAGCATAATTAAAGATTTAAAAAATCACTTCAGTTTCACTTCAAATAATTGTTGCAAGATTCAACGGCGTATACTTTAATTTCGAGTGTCTGGATATATTGGTTTATAATCACCTAATCCTCGGCGTCCTTGGTCCCTGCAATTTGCAATTCCCATGGACAAAAAGTGGGTTTACGTTTTGGATGCGGACGGAAGGGCAGAGCAAATGTTTTGTATTTTTTCCCACCAAGAGAATAATCCGGTATTTAATCTATCCGCGCCTCGAGCTCTTGGCAGTAGCAAAGGTGGTTTGCTATGGGAAATAAACCTTGACAGGAGCATATTTCCGAAAAAAGAATGATAAGTCGAACTGCAAAGCTGTATCTTTTTTCGCCTTCTTTTTCTCAGAAAGACTTCCGCTTAAAAATGCTAGCTAGCTGAGAAGTCCTTCTGAAACGAAGGGAAAAAAATATGGTGTTCAATACTGAAATACTCGGGGAAAAAAATAATAAGAAAAAAAATGAAAAAATAAAAAATGAAAACGCCCCGCGTTTCCAGAGCAGCGACTTTATTTTGTATTCGTCAGAACGAAACGGGTAAGCATCTCGGCCTTTAGCCTATAAATTAAAGTTTAGGAAAAAAAAAAAAAAAAAGAACTGGCTAATGCTTAAATAAAACCCCACTCCTCGTGCATTTCAGCATTCTCCGTGGGCAGGGTTAGCAATAAAATCAAGACAGCGTTTAATACAAAAAAAATATTGGCAGGCGCTAAAAGGCCGGTTGTTGCCATTCATAACTTTTAGATGCGTTTTAATGCACTTTAATGATGATTTGAAGAGATGGCCCTGCGCGTCCTCGGCCGGTAAAGGAGTCCAAGGAGAAGGGGGGGACTCGGGGGCGGCTGTCCCTCGTGGCTCGGCGGGGCCGTGGGGGCCGGGCCGGGCCGCGGGTGTTTTAACCACGCTGCCCCCTGCCTCACTGCCCCGGGCCGCCTCCCCCTTGAATGCAGTTGATTCATGAACTAGGCTACGAAATGCAAATGTTCATTAAGTCTTTCCTCCTCCCTCCGGCCTCCCTCTCGTCTCCCACCCACACCCCCCCCCCAAAAAAAAAAAAAAAAAAAAAAGGATTTTTTTTTTCCAGTGAATAGCTTCAACATGGCGTGCTGAAAGGCAGAAGCTTTGCCCGTTCCTAGATCTGAATTGTGATTAAACATCCCCAAAGAGAGCATCTCCCTTCCTCCCGCCGCTCCCCCCTCCCTCCCCTCCCCGTAGCGCGGAGGAAAGCGCCCTCTTCTACGTAGGAAAGGTCAAGTCCTACAACGCACAACCCACGGTCATTACTGTACTGTGACCCGGGGTGTACTGGGGAGGAACGGCCGGGTGTCCCGTGATCAAAAACACTTGGACTTCTTTTTTTTTTCTTCTTCTTCTTTTTTTTTTTTTTTTTTTCTTTCCCCTCCTTCTCGTGCGATGGGAATCCGAGGAATTAGACAGCGTTTTAGCCTCCTGCAATCACCTTGTTTGTGTGCAAATCGCCATCGGAATTCCTAGGGGACCGGGAGAGACAGAGAGAGAGGAAAAAAATAAACAGCAATAATAGCAGTCATAATAACAGCAATAATAATAATTAGCCTGTGATATTGCTGCATTTTGTAGACAGCCTGGAGCTGGTAGGAAGGACGATGTGCCCTAGTGGCTACATTTCTCTCCGTTCAAAGGCAGACAACCGAGAATTAGAGCAGAAAACAAATAAAAACCCAAATCAACAGCAACCCAAGTCAATGGGAGAAGAGAAGGAATGTTTTGTGGACCGGGTATGTTTAAACTGTAGGGAAGGAAACCAAAAACTGTGCAGTCCATCATTGATCTGGAGGTCTCCAGCCCAGCGCGGGATCCTAGCTGTCAGTCTCCGTGGGGATATATTTTTGCACGGGCGAGAGACGTCTGGATGCTGGGGTAAGATTTGCGTGCTCTTCCTGGAAGCGGCTGAATGTTTGTCCTCTCCCCGTGCTCGGTGGTGAATTAAGCAAAGAAGCCAACAACAAACACCCACCCGCAAAGCCCCGTGCATGGCTGGGGCAAAGTCCTTCGGAAGGCCTTTGTGGAGGGTTTCCCAGGCCCCCGGTCCTTCCCCGAGCCCACCCACCCACCCGGCTCCCTCTCTCCCACGCTGTATGAGCAGTGGGACCGCTGCTGCCGCGGGGACCTGGAGAGAGAGGAGGAAGGCTGTCTGGGGTGATGCTATTTGGGACGAGGAGTCCGCTTAGAAAAGTAAGACTGCTTCTCCTAGCCTGGCTCAACCTTTCCCAGCGATGCTATTTCCCAGTCCAGCATAGGTGGGAAGCAAAGAAGCCTCTTGGCAGGCAAGTGGGCCAGGAGAGGCTGGGGTGAGCGCCCAAGATGCGGGCAGACTTGCAGATAGAGCTGCTGCTTGCTTGGTTTTGTGCTTTGTGTTGTGCTGGTTCGCCTTTGCAAAGTTGGATCGGGCTGCATTAGAAATTTATCCTGGATTTTATTCCTGGCCGTCTGTGCGTGGTCGCCTCCGAAATGATTTTACTCTTTCGTGAGACGGGGAGGAGGGTCTGTGTGGAAGCGGGGGAAGGATGTGTTCCCTTGGAGAGGCTATTTAACCTGCCTGCTGTTGTGCGTGTGTGTATCCAGAGGGAAAAAATGCCAGCCGGGCGGTGTAACCTGCCAGTTTGAATTAATCCGAGCCGCGTCGTAATCGCCTCGATTCCGCATCCAGCAAAGTGCTTTTATTTATTCCTGACCGTATAAATCGGCCTCTACAGTCGGTTTGGGTTAGGAGTAATGGAAAAGCAGGGTGTTTTTAGGCACTCTGAATTTTAGGCTTCGACGTGCGTTCGGATAGGCATAAAAATGTTAGGTTTTAATACAAAGAGATCTTGCTCCGTCTCCAGCTAGCGACTGGCTAAAGCTTAAATACACCCGGTTTTGCAAAATGAAAACCCCGTGCTCTCTGGGCACTCGAAGGGAAAACAAAAACGAAAGAGAAAGGAGGATTGAGCCGCACACTGCGCCGGATCGGCCTCGGGTGGCGGTGCCAAGCCTCCGCCGCCGCTGTCCGGGGACCGGTGGCGGTACCACCCGGAGCGGTGGCGGTATCTTAACGGGGAAGGCGAGCACCGCTGCCCTGAGCCTGTGCGCACCCCGGCACGGCCGAGAGCAGCCATGTTAGGCTTAGAGGGAGAGCTCTTTGGATGGGTATCTTTGCGGGACATATCACAAACTAGGCGACGAGCAGCTCTCCCAGGGCTCCGTGCATCGCGTTGCGAATCGCCTCGCATGTTTTCAGCTCGTGTTAGACAAATACATCCCTGTAAAGGTTACCCACGTACAGGTACCTTCGTTACAATGCACTTCGGAAAGTCTATCAAAATATGAAGTAGGGGCTTTGAAGTCGTTGATTTGACAGCCCCGGCACAGTGATACTTCCTGTACCCGCCCCCGGGAACTATCCTGATGGAGAAACCTCTTTACCTCGGTGGGTTTCACGATATGGGAAAAGGGCTCTCCTATAAAGTTAGCGGTGTGGTACAGTAAAATCCGATGTGTTTCGTGGCGAGTTGGGCAAAATAAAATAAAAATAAAAAATAAAAAGCCTTTATAAATCACTGTTAACATTCAGTGTGCGTTAGCGAGAACATTATATCCTATAAAATTCAATTAAGCTGAGAATCCCGGTCGATTACCTTGACTCGAATTTCTGTACCGAGTGCGGCAAACTCTGGAGCCTGGCATCACAGGAACACCCTAACTACAACAAGCTTGTCTCGGCGTTGGGGCAGTTCGCTTTCTGTAGCTTTCTGCCCTTAATGCAGAGGGCACGTCGTATATCTCATAACCCGCCTGCGTTGTTTGCATCCTGAGCTTGGAGGCAGAAGAATCCCCGTTTGTCAGAGGCAACGCGATTGGAGCTCTTTTTTTTTTTTTTTTTTTTTTCCCTAACTGAATATATTTCCTGGATTAACAAATCTAAGGTCAAGTTCAAGGCATCAGTTGTAGCAATACTTTTAAATGTAAGTCGACATGGGAATGTTTGGGCGGGCTTTTCTTCTTTTTTTTCTTCTTCTTCTTTTTTTTTCATTTCTTTTTTTTTTTTTTTTTTTTTTTAATGTGTAAAGCGGCATTCCGGGCTGCGGGTGAACTTTGCGTGGGAACATCGCCCGAGATGTTGCCGGCCGCAGGGATAACCTCATTGTTTAATAGCACCGCACTTTCAAGGAATCGCTGGGGATGTTCCCTCCACCGCTCGGAGTAATCCCACATAAAATACTGGGACATGAAAGGTGACTGGAACCTGCTTCCTGCCACCGACGCTAATGACCTAGATCCCAGTGGGTCTGGGTGGGAATCGGTAGGAAGTGGCTGGTTTTCGGTATCGGGAGGCGATAACCAGGGAAATTGGCTCTCGCACCCGTTTTAGAGCCCGCCGCTGGGTCCAGACACCCCTCTCCCGCACCCTGGCTTTGTCAGAAGTCTCCTGCACCTGTATCTGGGTACATGGGAAAAAAAAAAGAAACGAATGAGTGCGCACTTTCACGTGTCGGGAAAGCCTCGCAGAGCATTCATGTGCAGAAAAAGAGACATTTATGGCAGCATCGCCAGTCGGTCAATTTCTGAAATATTTGACCGTCTACGATAATAATTCCTTACGCCCCCTTTACTGACAAATCTGCCTCTATTGTCTTCCAGCAGCAAGCTACGAGCAGTAAATACAAACTAAATTTTAGAAGGGCTTCAGCGAAGCAGAACGGGGGGGATCAGAGTGCTGGAGGGTTTTAGGACACACAGCGTTATGAGAAACCCTCCGCGCTTGTAAAGATGCTGAGAGTGTGTTAGAACAACAAATAGTTTGGCTGCTAAAGGGCAAGAAAATAGTGCTCGAGAAAGAGAAGCTATCTTGCTGGAATAAGCTTCCTGTTTTGAAAAACTCCCCCAATATTTTTGCTTGTTGCAACTACAGGAGTCGGAGTCTGACTGTAGATGGACCGGTCCATCGTTGCAAAGGGATGCAAATTACCGTGGTTTATCTCCAGACCAGGGTAGATTTCTTTCTTTCGGTCCGAAGCCATTTTATTCTAATGTTCAAACTAAATGGGAGGATTGGGGGCTGAAAAAAATCAACACCCACCTAAACCTTACCCACCTCTGCGACTAAAAAGCGAGGTGACAGAGTAAATAAAGGGTTTTGGTAATTGATATTAAAAAACAATCTAAAATTTTCTGCTCCTAGATGACCACAGCCTTTCGAGAGAAGTTCAAGTCTTTGAAATAACGCAATCAGATTAAATCCAACAAAAAAGTCAGAATAACCTTGCCTTGGATTCTGTTTAAATCTGCCCTTTCTCTTTACTCGTATTCTGCAGTTTCCTAGCAAAATAACAACCATACTGCTTCAGGTTTGGGACAATACATAGCCTGTTCCGTATCACAGCACAAGGGTTCCCCCTTGCCGTTATCAAAAATCACTTCAAATTATGAGGTAAATTAATATTTGAAAAATCGTAGATAGCTATTGTTCCACTTCCTTCTATTACGGTGCTGAAGGAAACGTATTTAGATTTTTTTTTTCTAATAGATGGATTCGTATAGCTCCTTTCCATAACAGGAAAAATCATATTAAAAAAATATAAAAAGCGCACAGAAAAGAACAAACGTCAGTGAAGACCTTCAGAGCACGAAATATTTTAAATCTAAACAATCACCGTGCGTTTCTGAAGCTACATTCCTGGCAAATTTTGAGAAGAATTATCGCCTTATGGCCTTATTTTCATTGGAAAAAAAGGGGAGGGGACGTGCCTTTCGTAGGCAAAAACGCTGTGAAGTCCCTCGTATTACACTTTTCCTATAAGTCTTTGTACACTGTAATCGTCCCGTAAGTTTACAAAACGCTGTCCTAATTCCTGAGATACTTTCCTGTGGTTGACTCGCAGCAATCCTCGCCGTGCCTACGCGAAGGGAGAGTAAGAAAGTTAAAGCAGTGGTCGGGCAATATTTTAATTAGCTCTTCTTGACACAAATTCCTTTTAGCACACGTTTCCCCTGTTAATTACAGGCACTCACCCTATAGGCACGGTAAACGGTGGGCTGAAAATGTTTAAAACAAAATGCAGTACGAAAAAAAAAAAAAAAAGACAACAATTTGGATACTATAGAACTTGACCTTTTGGAGAACAGCGGTAGTAAGTTAAACAGTTCCCTTTGCACGCGATCTGTATATATAAAAGCTGGGCTATCGAGGCGTCCAAGCTCTGTTTATATTCCTCCAAAGGAGAGATGTAGCTTTTTCCTCGCTTTGTTTAGCTTAGCTAAATGGGTAAATGTGCTCACAGCCTCCCCACCTCTTGGCCACGTTCGTCCTGCGCAAAATGTGCTGCAGCGGAGCTGCAAAATTCATAGCGTTTTTAGCCACGTTACCCTCTCTAATCCGGCCGAAATACTCGGGAAGGCGTAACGAATGCATTTTGCTTCTCAAAACGAAATGCCTCCCTTTGTTGATGTTGTTTTCACTGAGGTTAGGAAGGGGAAGGCTCGATTTTCCCCCCTTCCTCAACGCGGAAGTCCCAATTACTGTATTAAAAGAGCAATTCAACATTAGACCAAATAATCAACATTGATAATTGTGCTGAACACAGCAACTTAACAGCAGGCTCCCTGCAATTACCCACACATTCCGGGGCTTTAAGCGTACATTATCTCTGTTTCACTTAACAGCAAATAAAGCAGAGAAGTCTGTGTGCCTTGGGTGTCTACTCGCTCCCAGACGCGCTGCGCCCCTCGCAGCCTTCCCCATCACCCTCCCTGATTTCTGGGGTCCCCTCGCGTTGCAAGCAGGATCGAGTAAATACGTTGCTTGGGGTGGTTGTCCTTTTTTTTTTTTCCCTTTTTTTTTTTCCCTTTTTTTTTTGGGGGGGGGGGAGGGTGCAGCCCGAGAGCAACACAAAAGCAGGCATCGGGGCTGCACGTGTGCAGGCTGTGCAAGCACACATATGCCCACACACTCTCCCACACACGCCTGGTCTCGCAGGAGGGTGGCCAGTCTGCTGGTGCCTCCTCGCCCCTCTTGCCTTAATTTCCCTTTGTTTCCCGGAGGCAGCCCCGACCTCTGGCACGGCCGAGCCCCGCACGGCTCGGCAGCCCCGGCCTCAGGGAGGTGCAGGAAAGAGCCGCATACAAACCTGTGCCAGCTTTTTGCTCCCCACTCCTAGCCCTAAAATTTATTTAGTGCAAGAGGGGGGCTGCAGTGAGTCCAAGTAGGTGGCGTCCCGCGATTAAGCGCCGGGCAGCTCTGTCATGTCTGCTCTGACACAAGCTGAAGTTGACTGCCAAAGTGCTATAAAACCGCAGGTCAGTCTAGAACTGTTTTCGGTTCTCCTAGACGCGCCGTGTTCAATTATAGCCTTAAAAGCCCTAATACAAGTGCAAGAATTTGTTTGCCATCACACAGAGGCGGGGCGAGGCTCTGCAATGGTGGCGCCTTTGTTATCTCAAAGTCACTGAAATCCTTATACATTCCTTTTTGTTTCGGGGAGGGGGGTGTCTGTGTGAGAGCAGGGTGTGGGGGGAGATTTCTTCGTGGACAGAGTCGGAGGGTGGGGGGACAGAGGAAAAATAAACAGCGCTCGGGTACCAAAAGAGGACTCCCACCCACCCCACCCCCCGACAAAAGCTGGGGGAGAAATGAGATGCGAGCAGAAGTATAGCGTTAAGGAAAAAGCCAACCAGAGATCTTGCACCCCCCCACAAGCCCAAGTTGTGTGGGGAGGGAGGGGGGAGAGAGAGAGAGAGAGAGAGAGGGAGGGAAAATCCCCAAACGCTTTTACAATCCCTAAACGACAATGCAGTCTTCTGCTGGCGGTTTTGACGACATGCAATCTCTTTCCATCCACTTTCTAGCAAATATGTCAAGCTTGAAGATTAATTCATTAATTTCAAGTTCAGCTCGCAGACATGCAGCAAGCATGAGAAGTTCTTGCAGCAAACCAAAATAAAGAGTTCATTACGGGGATACGTCCAGAGCATTTGATTTGTGAATGGTAACCCTTGTAAAATAAGAAAAAGGCATATAAACATTAATGCTAATAAATTAGTTTACTCCACTACAAAGTAATTACTTGATAATATTGAATTTACAGCTTGAATTCAAATGTAATAGTTAACTATAATGTAGGGAAAATACATAATGAGAATATTTTTTCTGTGCACAACATGATTAGATTTGTTATTGAGTCAGTTACGATAAGCTAAGCAATAAATAAACAAATCGATGTTGACATTTAAATACCGAAGATCTCCAGAATTTACTGTAGAACTTTCTCCGGATATATAAATACTTCCACAGCACTGCAGAGGAAGAGGGGGGGGAAAATCCAAATATTATTTCCCTAGCATTTTAGCTTCCCTTCCATTAGCCTCCCAAGCCCACGGGGGGACAGATCTCGAAGCACGTCTAATTTCATAAGAGCACCGACTTCACAATAGCCTTCTGCCGTTCTGTTTTTCTATTTTGATTAAATCCAGCCGGAACCCAAATATTTCTTTTCTGAAATCGAGCATCAGACTAGCAAAAAAATATTTTTTTCCAACAGCCGAGGGATGTCCATGCCTGAAAAGGTGCTGTATTCTTTGGCGTATTTCTCTGTTTTCTTTGGCTCTGCTCATTCGGTGGGGTGTGCATTTTTATTGGCAGAGAAGTGCTTTTTAGTCTCTGCCCTGTACAATCCGCTTTCTATATCATCCCTTTCATGCAACAATAGTAAAAGTTTAACCACGTTTTTAAAATAGGTCTCCCTGGGTCTCAGCCTTTAGCGACGGTACGAGGCGAAAAGGAAAGTATCTCGGTACGGCGAGTTTGTTCCTAGGGGTTAATAGTATGTCAAATCATTTTAACTAGGCTTCTGGCAATTAAACCCCGAATATTTGTCAAAGCGGGGCAGCCCAACATCCCCTGGTTTCCCAAGTATTTAGCAGCAGCGCGGAGGCGAAGAGATCAGCAAACACTTTCGAGCTCAGCGGTCTGCAGTTTAAAGGGCTTGCTGGCGTCGCACGTAGGCGAGCGAGGGTTTGGGGGGGCGAGGGAAGGGAACCTGCGATCGGGGAGTGAAATCTCGGGAGCTACCTCTAGTAAAGCTGGGATGAAGCCGCGCGGGGTATTTGAGGTTAATATGTAAGTAAGGGAAGGAAGACACTAAGCGCTTCGGAAGTGAACATGAATGCAAGCATGTAATCTATTCACCATGAAAATCAGTACAGACTTGACCCTGGCACATTCTTCCTAGTAACGTTTCCAGCAAAACCCTGCGGGGCGAGGGCTTTTTTTTTTTTTTTTTTTTTTTTTCCCTCTTTTTCCCTTGGGTCGGTGGGCAGGCAAAGCGAACCGAGGCGAGCTAAAAAAAGAAAAAAAAAAAAGAAAAAAAAAAAAAAAGCCACGGCCGCTCCTTGAGGAGCTTCCTGCTAGCCAGCAGCCTCCTCGAAGGGCTCGGCGCTGAATTCCTCCTGCTCGCTCCCTGCTTTTTCTTCTTTTTTTTCCAGCCCGGCGAGCAAACAAACAAACAGAGAGCTCTCACCTAGCCCTGCGGGCATGGCTAAGCCGCTCCGCCGGGGAACCGGGCGGCCGGGGGGGTGCCGTACCCTTCGGGGGGGCATCCCCCGGAGCGGGGGGCGATGCCCCGGAGGGGGGCTGTGCGTTACCCCGAGGCGGGGGGGGGGTGGGGAGGGGGAGCCCGGCGCCGTGCCGATCTGTTGCATCCCCCGAGCCGGCTCCGAAGGGGCGAGGGCCCGGAGCCGCCGCTTGTCAATTTGGCGTGGCGTCACGTGACCGCACCTCCCTGCCGGGCTGGGGCGAGCTCTCCACGTCAGCCGACGTCTCCCAATTTTCCTCCTTCACGGATCCGCTTCAAAGGGGCAGCTGCGTTAGAGAATCATGTTAAGCTCAGCTAATGCGGAGAAGCCGAGGTAGCCCTAATGATGGATTTTGATGAGCGTGTTCCTTGTTCCTCTAACATGTATTTGCCAAGTTGTACTTACTACGTCTCGGGTCCTGATTTTTCCAGCCTCCCTTCTTTTTTGCCCCAGACCCCGTCTTCTCGCCCTATGACATACTCCTACTCTTCCAACCTGCCCCAGGTCCAACCTGTGAGAGAAGTTACCTTCAGGGAATATGCCATTGATCCCTCCAGTAAATGGCACCCCAGGAACAATCTGCCCCACTGCTACTCCGCAGAGGAGATCATGCACAGAGACTGCTTGCCTTCCACCACCACTGCTAGCATGGGCGAGATGTTCGGCAAAAACACAGCTAACGTCTACCACCCCAGCGCCAACGTCTCCTCCAATTTCTATAGCACGGTGGGCAGGAACGGGGTCCTGCCCCAGGCTTTCGACCAGTTTTTCGAGACGGCTTACGGCACCGCGGATAACCTGTCCTCAGCGGACTATTCGCTGGACAAGAGCGGCGACAAAGCGCCCGCGGCCGCCGGGGCGACGGCGGCAACTTCAAGTTCGGAGGGCGGCTGCGGCAGGGCGGCGGCGGCGGTGGCCGCGGAGAAGGAGAGGAGGAGGCGGCCGGAGAGCAGCAGCAGCCCCGAGTCATCTTCCGGCAACAATGAGGAGAAATCCGGCAGCTCCAGTACGTATAAAGGCAGCGCCCGAGCGCTTTAGGAAAGGGAGGTTGAAATCTAGCGCACCGCCGCTGTTAAATTTTTATATGCTGTTTTATAAGCATATAAGGTTTATGAAGGGCCTTTAGATTTCCCCCAACAAAACTTTGTTATAAAAGGCGAGATCACGTGTTTAGTGCTGAAATTGGCCGTGAAATACCCACCGGGCAATGGATGCCTTTAAAAAAAATTTCTTTCTCCTTCCTCTTTTCTTTTTAATAAGAAGAAAGAGGGGCTCTGCGGTCAGCTCTCGAAAATATAATAACGGACGTTCGGTGCCTGTAAATGCGGCGAAAAGGGGGGATCCCGACTCCTTTGATATCGATGTAATCCAGTGATTTTATAAAAGCCATGTGTTGCACCAGGAGTCTAGTTAGGAGCCGAATTCAAAGCCATCGCCGTTTTAACGATTGCGCTAGAATAGCGTTTAACAGATAAAGTAGCCGCCTGAACTGTAGCAATATATTAAAAGAAACAAATTAACCTAAAGCTGGCCTTTTTGTCTAAAGGAAGCCATTTTACTAAGGCGCTGTGGCAATTACGTGTTGCCTTCTGTCCAACAGTTTGTTACTTACAATTGTTATTCAATCTGTCAAAGTCTGATTTTTTTATGTGGGCTTTTTAAAAGGCAAAGCTAGTATACGGCTGGGGGAAAAAATACCTCGACAATGAACTGTACCAGAAAAGGAAGTTTTTAAAGGGATAGCGGCTGCGTTTCATGTAAAGAGCTCCTGAACCCTGAAACCTTTTATATTCCGCTTAATGAACTTTAAAACCGTGCTGGCTAATCGCGACGAGGAGACCTCGGCAGAGCCGAGACTGTGCTTCGCGGCGGCGGGCTGGGGGGAGCGGGCGGCGCTCAGCTGCAGCCCCGGGGCTCCGGGGCTGTGTCTGGGCTGGGGCCGGGCGGCAGGGCTCGGGCTCCGAGCTAGGAGCAGCGGGGAGCCGGCAGGGCTGGCGGCGGGGGCCCGGTGCCCCCGGGCCGCTGCTGGAGGCAGCCAGGTGGAGGCTGCTCCGGGGAGCCTCCGTGAGCCTGGCGCCCGCCGAGGCCGCCTACAAAGGCTCGCTCCCGGCTCTGCCGAGCAGCGGCCGCCGTCCCCTCGACCCTTTTGCCCCTTCCTCCCGCCGAGCGAGGCCGCAGCCCCGCTTCCCGGCGGGGGTCGCGCCCTGCCCGGTGCCGGGGGCCGCGGCGCTGCGGGAGCCGGCGAGTCCCGGAGGGTCCCGGAGGGTCCCGGACCCGGGCCCCCCCGCAGCCGCCCAGGCGGAGGACCGGCCGAGAGCGGCCTCGGAGCGGGCAAAACGCGTCTTTTCCATATGAACGTGTTTTGTTCCGGTGTCCCGGTCCCCCTAACCCCTCCCCGGCCCTCCTCGGCCCCCACCAGCGGCAGCGCCGAGTGACAAACCCTTCTGCCTTTTCTCGCTCCACAGGTGGACAACGTACACGTAAAAAGAGATGCCCATACACCAAATACCAGATTAGAGAGTTAGAAAGGGAATTCTTCTTCAGTGTCTACATAAACAAAGAGAAACGCCTGCAGCTCTCCCGAATGCTCAATCTGACCGACCGCCAAGTAAAAATATGGTTTCAAAACAGAAGAATGAAAGAAAAAAAAATTAACAGGGACCGATTACAATATTACTCAGCTAATCCACTACTTTAAAACTCATAGGGTTTTTCAAGACGAGATTAAATTCCGATTTCGCCCTTGACAAGGTCAAGCCACGGGGTTACACGGAGGAAGGAGGTGTGTATCTGACGGGACTAGAAGAATCCGAGGTTTTACATACATGTAAATCCGCTCTGGGACTTCCACGACGATTTCTTTTATATATATATAGATATATTTACATATCAACTGGAATCGGTTTGATTTTGACACACATGGCATCCATTTCTAACGTGCACGTCACCTCTGAGCGCCAAGCCCATACCTCTTACCTTCCCAGGCACCGCTCCCCATCCTGCTCCCGATTTCGGCAGCCGCGGGCGGGGACGGCGCCCCCGGCCCCCTACCCCAAACCCTCGGTGCCCAACATGTGCGGGGACACCGTCGGGCCCTGCTCCCGCAACCAGGACCGCTGCAGGAGGCAAACTTTCCGAAATAATCTCCTGCCCTTCCTGGCGGCGATTTTCTATCTCGCAGGCTACTCTCCACCATCGCCCGTGGGGTTGAGACGGGAATTGAAGGGGGGGAAGAGAAAATTAAAGGGGGGTGACAAGCCTACACCTTCACGAGGCCAACCATGAGCAGTTGTAATATGGATGTAGTGATGGGTATAATAGTGTTTCCTTTGGGGGGGTGGGAGCAAGGGGGGAGGGGGAAGAAAGAAAACTAAGTGAAAGAATTATTTACTAAAAAAAAAAAAAAAGAAGAAGAAGAAAAAAATCAGGTATAAATTTGCCATATATCGTAAAGAAACAATCACTGAAAAAAAAAAGAGCGCAAAGATTTAGCAAATTTTAACTAGCTCTCGTTTTATTTATGACAACTGACCACGCGTTGCCATCTTTCTGGAGACAAATCATATTTAAATGCTAAAAATAAAGTCACACGGCAAAAAAAGTGTGAATTTCAGCGTTTTAGAAGAAAAAAATACATAAAGGAAACTAACCTTCTGGCTTCTGGCTCACAAACTTTCTTCAGGAAATACCTGTGGAGAACGACAGTTTAGCAAATACCACACAACACTTAATTGAAACTTGGAGTTGTGCAATGCACTCACATTGGATCATTAAAATAGCTCAATCGCCTGTTCTTTTAAAGGTGGCTAGTGAGGAGTTTAATCAGAAGCCAAACAATGTAAATATGGTAATTTTGTTGTTGTCTACTCTAAATGTCACGAGCTCGACTTTGTCGCCCAGTCGACATATGCAAAGAATGGAGAGTTGTTTGGAGTTATTTTAAATATCTATAAATATATATATTTCCCTGCAGGAACCAAAGCGTGAAAAAAAATGCAATTTAAAAAAAAAAAAAAAAAGAAGAAAGAAAAAGAAAAAAAGGAAAATATTTAAAATTCTATATCAGTTTACAAAGGATACGGTGTTCTATCGTTAAGGTAATTTGCTGTTGAGAATATCTGAATGTATATTTCATACAGGAACGGTGTTTTACAAGACTTGTAAATAATAAAAAAGAACCCATGACCTATTTTGTTCGAATGCTTTTTTTTTTTTCCTGATTTTTTTTTCCTTTGGGGCTAGAGGGTGTGGGATTTCTTTACATGTGCAACAAAGTGGTGATAAGAATGTTTTTTGATTAATAAATTTACTGAATGGATGTAATTTCTTTGACACGGTTCACAAAATGCAGTATCTTTATATGACATCACTGTTTTCAATATGTATCGACTATATGTATATACAGTTTTCTTTTAATATGCGAAAGTACTTGGTTGCATGTATACAGTGGAACAGCGCACAAGGAAAATAAAAAAATGGAAACTTTATATTTTTCATTCTGGTGTTACGTTACTGCAACGTTATTTTGCCTGATGGAGCTTTGGGACCCGAAACTCCTCCTGACCTTGGTCAGTCATTTCGGGAGAGATGCTTATCCTTTTGTGAACCCTCGCTGCTAAATCTTCTGCCCTAGCGTAAACAAGGGAACCTGGGCTTGCTTGTTCGAGCACCGTGCCGGCTCAGGAATGGAAAATGAAGCATGGTCATAGCTGGCTACGTGCTAGGCCCTTTCCTTGTCCTGCCAGTGCCGGTAGGGCAAGGTCTTGTGTGGAGGGCTTGCTGTGACATTGTTGTTTGCTCCCCAGCACCCTCAGCCAGGAGGGCTGCTCTGGAAGTGGTCGCGGTGTCTGGGGAGCTTGGGGCATATTTCATGCGCCCAGCACCAAAGGGAAGGTCCGGGCCAGCCGATGGATGTGCTGAGGAGCGTGAGAGCCCTAAGAAAACTGTTGTCTTTGAAAAAAAAATTCCGCATGGCAGTGTGGTGGAAATGGCCTGTTTGAAATTGTCCTTGATCTCCAAGGCAAGGAGGGGGTGGGCTGAGGCGGGCGGGGGGAGGGAGAAAGTAAGGAGGGGGGGAAAACCAAAGCAAAACAATAGCTGAGATGGGAATGTGTTTGGGGAAGAGGGCTAGGATCTTTAATGTTGACCCTATTCCTAATCGCGAGAAGAAAGTACATTCCGTTTTCGCATTGTTTACTGGCTTTGAACTTCTGTATTGCTTGGACATCACCCATAACCTTGAGGTGAAGGACTTACTGACTTGGGGCCTCTGCTGACAACCGCCACCCAGCCAGGCGACGTCCCGTCGAAGGAAACGTTAGGAGAGCGAGGGGGGAAAAGGAGACTTTGTTTGTTTGTTTGTTTGTCCAGCGTGCTGGGGGAAAGGCGAGCTCAAAAGCGACGGATGGACGGACGGACGTGGACAGGCGGCGGGAGAGAGACAGAGGGACGGATGGAGAGCTGAAGGGCAATGAAAGTTTAGCGAGAGAGCTTCCTTTCCCGGTTAAAAATTAACTGGCATTCATGGCCAATCCCAGAGACAGTTAAACCATGGCGTTTCTCTGCTCGGGGTTTGATTTCCTAGCCCAATAAAATCGCATCCTCTGTGCCGCTGTGACAATGCGGCCATAAAAAGTGTCCGTGACTTGTCCGCTCGCACAGGCGGAATG